TCTAAATGTAACTTGAATTGAAATAAATTCCTCGAAAGATAAAAAAAATAAAGCCCATTTTCTACTTGTTTGCAAACTTTCTAACAGGATTCCCTAAATCAAAATTATCAGAATGGCCAGTTATATTTGGTAATAACATCTTTGCCTAATGCTGTGTCTTTTATGTAAAATCTTTTTAAACTAGGAAAATAATCTCCCATCTATGGTATCATATAAATGTTTGTACCTTGCTTTGCTCAAATATGAAATCTTAAGTATATAGCTTGTATTCAAAGATTTACATACAAAAATAGTACAGCCTCTCACTTTTTTCCTACTTGGGTACTGAGGATAACATTCAAACTTACATTCTGAAACCTGCAGGCCTGAGGCCAGGTGAGTACCCCCACTGAGTCTAAAATTGTCTTTAGTGACTTCCCTCCTGTGTGTTTCTGGACCCAAACAGAAATGCTGCTATCTCACTAGCCTGAGCGATGGACTTGATTCATTCAACATCAGTGTTTACCTCAATGTTGTATATAAATGAAAGGACTGGAAGATGGGACATTGGAAGGTACCAGGAGACAGTCTTCTCCATATCGCAATTGCAACAAATCATCAGCTGTCTCCATTCTATTGCATTTCTCAGCTAACGTCTCCAAAATTTCTCTAGCTGCCACACAATTCTGTGCTTCTTTTTTAAAAAACTTTTTAAAAAAGATTTTATTTGTCAGAGAGAGAGAAGGAGCACTCACAGCAGGGGAAGCAGCAGGCAGAGGGAGAAGCAGGCTCCCCACTGAGCAAGGAGCCCACGGGACCTGAGCCAAAGCCAGATGCTTAATCCCCTGAGTCACCCAGGGGCCCGCCTGTGTGAGTTTCTGATGCACACATTTGCAGGGCCTCTTGCCACTCTCAGAATCCTTCCTTGTCTCCTGTAGACTTTCTCCCAAGGGCTATCAGTTGATGATCAGTAAAACGATGGGGTCACAAAGGACTACAGAAAAATACCCTAAGTGACAATTTAGCTTCAAAAGTCACCAATCACAATTTTCTTATGCATAAGTGGTATATGAGATTTTCTTAAAAAGGGCTTCCGTAAGTAAGTCCGGAGCGTGTGTGATAAACGATTCCTAGCTGAGCAGAACCATTCTGATTCCTTTAAGTAACCACAGTCATTACGGTAACAGTGTTTGGTGAAAGCCACGTGAGACAGCAATCGCACAATCTGATCTGGCAACAGCAGCGCCATTGCCCTCCAGACTACATATTCGAGTGCTAATTACTCAAACGGAACTCCAGGGGCACCTGAGGTAGATGCAGCAGCACACGGAATTAAGGGAGGAAATAATTAGTCACGGTTGCAGAAACTAGCTCGACATGAAGTGAAAAAAGGCACGTGGGCTAGTTTCCTGCGCAGCCCAGAGAGCCTTCGCAAGGGCAGATGCAAACGCCTGAGAGAAATGCAAAGGATAAACATTACTTCTGTAATCCAAGAAAGGACGAATCTCAACTTTAAATTACAAAAATGACTTTATTTAAGTTATTTTCTGTTCCTGTGTACTACATAACCAAATAACATGAAGACATTTTATTGGGAATTTGCACTACAATGAATCAACTTTCAAGCATTTTCTGGAGAGTCTTAGAGTTTTTAAGAGCATTTGACACAGTCTGAGCAGAGTGGGAGAAAACAAGTGGCAGGAAGACCGACGAAGGGAGCACATAAGGCATTGCGTTTCAACCCAGTAAAAATATTCATTCAAGAGGCAGAATCAGGTGGGAGAGGGACTAGTATTCAGGAGAGAGCAACTGTGTAACTACATTAAAAACCATGCATAGGAACTGTTACTTCACATGGCCAACAAGTTGTTCAAAGTACCCCTTTTCACAGTCTTCTGATAAAGAAAAAATTCCCTGGGGTGGGAGTCTATTCTTCCCTCTCCCCAGAATGAACCTCAGGATGTTACCTTTGTCATGCATGGCTCTGGGAAGACACAATGAGCGGGGACACCTCGTTTGAAAGGCTGGCGTGAAATTGTATCCAAAGCATGTCACTGAGGCCTAAATCTGAAAAATCAACAGCAGGTCTGGCCGAGACTGTCCAAGTTTTCTTACAAGGTGTCTGATTTGACAAGAAGGGATGAGAATCTCTTATAGACCCTTTGAGGCATTCCCTCACTCATAACTGTGCTGTTTTGTATACTTGTTTTACTAACTTAAGGTTACCGTGGGGCCCTACTGTGAGTTACTGAGATCCTACCAAAAATGTCAACTGCTTGACGAGCATTATCACATTCAGAATTAACGGGAGAACACAAATTGAAATTCTGTGAACATTTATCTTATCTAGTCACTACTAAGTATTGCTGACCATTTTCATCACGATGGATCATGGATGTCCACTGTTGGTAGGAAATTAGAGAGTAGAATAAACTACTTAAAAATGGACTTTTTTTTTTTTTTTTTAAATGATAGACTTGGAAAAATAAACAACGGCAAAAATCTTCTTGGGGGAGATAGTAAGAAGAGATATAAAGAATCTCTCTTCTTCTTTCTTCATATCAGAAATCATAAGACAGCATATTGCAAGAACTCGGACCTTCCTCATCTCACGTAGCCTGAGAAAGACGCCAGCTTGTTTCAGACCCTCTCTAAGATGGCGGCTTGAGGGGCAGATACGGAGGCACCTCTGAATGGACGAATACTCCTAGAAGGCGACTCTCCAGGCCTTCCTGCCAAACAGGATGCCCCGTAAGTTGTTGGAACTCTTTACAGCAGCTTCGGGGGAAATGTAATGGCAGGGAAAAGGTGGGTGAACAAGAAAAATCTACAATTGTTTCACTGTATCAAGAACACTTATGTTAAGAGTGTTCAAAGAACAACATAAAACAACAAAACAAGAACCTATCACATAACCAGTTTTCTGAGGTGTGGTCTTCTTAGGGGAGTTCCACTGGGATATACTTCTATGCTCTGCTTCAAGCAGACCCTCACCAGACAGATACCTGTTCTCCGCTCAACCATGAAAACCGACCAGAAAGCGCTCCCATCATGGGCTTCAAGCAGCCATAGGCGTGATGAGCACCTATGGTGCTTTTTCACCGACAGAAGCAGTTTCTCATGAATCCTATAGAGGTTGGAGAAATAGAGCTAGTTGTTCCTTTTTAGCAAGAGCACTTGTAAAATACAGAAAGGGATTAGGTAAATACCCCTTTTACACTGAGTTGATCCATTAAAGGACTTTAGAAAAGTCAGCAGTTCATTTACCTGAGTTTCCCATTTAAAGGCTAAATGCAATTGAATACTTTTTGCTTATAAATGTGAACCAAAACTCATGACATTAAAAAGAGCCAGAGTCAGAAAACTGAGACTCCAGATGAAGTTTGAGACTTTGGAATTTTTATAAAATCCAATAGAAGCATCTATGAATTTTCCTTCTTCGTTAAAGCATAAAGTCACAGAAAATACTGATTTACAGACTGTTATTTAGAATTTAGGTTAGGGGTCAGCCTGTGACCTCATTAAGCAAGCAAATCAGAATCTTTTAGAATTGGGAGCAAATTATTACAAGTTATAAAACTACTTACTAGTCCCTTACTTCAGTTGTGAAGCCCATGTGAGATTATGAATTAATACCAGATAAACACGTCAGCACAAATGATTTTTAACCTGAATAGATCCCTTTTGAAGGTGATATAGAAAATAACTATAAATTTTATCCAGAAAAGTAGTGCACCCAGTGTTTTACCAGTAGTTTTTTAAGCTTACCTTTCAAGAGGGTGTTTTTGTCATGCTCAGTCATGGAGAATCTTCCAAGTCTTTAGTTTGTTTGCTTAAAACAAAGAGGTCTGTGTTTCTAAATACAACACATTGTTCATAATCAGGATCCTAACTATGTTCTGGAATCAAATATTCTCTCCCACAAGAAATATAGCCATGTACTCTTTTAAACATATAATTTCAATTCTAGGTGGGAAATAAGTTATACAAAATCACCATTCTGACACGTGGACAAGAGCAGAAGCCATAAAGCATCCCAGACTTCTTGATTTCATTATTAAACAAATGAAAAGCATCTCTTTCCCAAATCTTCCCACCATGACAGCTCTTTGCATCTCAAACACGACTGAGGTACGTGTGTCTGCTGTGTAGTTCCTAGAAGTTGTGCTCTGTACGTGACTCGGAGCAGCACTGTGCGAAGTCACTGGGATCGAGGCGTAAAATTTAAAAGCAGTTATTTTGAAACCCCAAATCATCTTCCTATTTCCTTTCATTGTTAAGTCACAAAACTCTCTTAGATGAGATTAGAGTTCTGAAAACAGTCAAGTGTGAATTTACTACTTAAAACAAAATTCCCACAATCAGCAATACCAGTCTTGGATTGAGGGCACAAAAAGTGTTTTCATTTTCCTGTTCTACACAGCAGAAGAATCAGGAACAGATTTTGCCCAAGATGCATCTACTAGGTTGGATTAAATACAAAGATAAGGAAAAGCCCTGCTGACCATCAAGCAAAAATTATTTTCTAAGTGACATCCACTTAGCAATTTGTTCACCCCTTAAAAAAAAAAAGTAACAGGACCATTTTAGATGAGATGCTTATTTTAAGCCAAAAAGCAGAAGGAGTTCCTGTGCCTGCATCACTCGCATCTGCAGCACGGGCAGGGTTACGGGAGCTCAGTTATGGGGATGTGGGTTATTCGGTGGCACAGGCAGAATGGGAGGCAGTGGCTGGCCCCACCGCCGCCTGGGGCCACCAGCACACCTGGCTACAGGGCCCCAGCTCTACCAAAGAGTGCTTCAGCGGGGAATATTTTTTCCATCTGATGTACCCACATATCAAGATATCAAAGATTATTACATTACTTAAAAACCAGGCTTCTGATTCTGATTTTTAAATTTAATTACCTATTTTAATTAAAATAAATTTAGCTTCTCTAAGGTGGTTCACCAGTACTACATAGCAATATTCAGATGGAGGGTGGGGTGAGGTGGGGGGAGGAGAGCCTCTGTATTTTGTTTTTAAACGATATTTTTGAAATGTTGGTGAGAACGCAAATCAGTTAGATGGGAAATGACCAATTCAGATCAGCTCAGCATGGAAGAGATTACTGTCTTCACTCACGTAACAAAATCCCAGCCTAACGATCACATGGACCGTCAAGTAGAGGAAATAACACAAGTGGGGTTCTGCTGGAGATGAGGAGAAATTTTGAAAACAATGGTCTGTGGCAATGCACTTCTGTGAATTTACCCTCCAGAGAAGAGTCTTCTGTAGGACGGAGGACTTGGCCAGTGCAGAAGGCAGCCAGTATGACGATGACTAGTACAGACTCCTTGGTATATACACAAGGAAAACAAATATAAGGACCCTGGACAGGTGTAAACAAGCAAAATAATCACCTTGGCAAAATATCTATTTAAAAAAGACCAAAAAGCATGCAACTTAAAATTCCCTCCCTTTCACGAGAATGAAATGAAACACACAAAAAAACCCAGATGGAACCACCTGTTTCTGTCAGTAGAAAACAATAATAGATACATTAGGTTCCTGGACAAATAAAACTTTAAAATATTAATATTGAAAAAATACAATTAAATTTTTATTAAAAAATACAGACTCCTTACTCAATCTCTGTGTACATTTTGTGTTGTGTGAAAAAGAAAAAAAAATAAAATAGGAAAGGCATTAAGACTACCTAATTATTTATACTGTATTTGGTAGAAGCACGGTTCAGTGAAGCTTTAAAGAAAAAGAAGTTATTCCGCTTTCATTTGCTCCCGGATGTCCGAAGGCAGAGTTTCAAACAGAGCGTCTTCCACAACCAACCCGGCTCTCTTCAGGGCCCGGCAGTCTCCCAGTTCTGGAGGGAGGATTTCAAAGTGATTGCCTTTAACGTCTAAGTAGGAAAGAAATAACAAATTCCCGATTTTCGGTGAAAGTACCGAGAGGCTGTTTTTCCCGATCTTCAGGGTTTTCAGTTTCTTGCAGAAGTAGAGTTCGTCGGGAAGGCTCTCCACTTTGTTACACGTGATGGAGAAGTACTGTAAACTCTGCAGAACTCCGATTTCGGGTGGGATGAACCGGATGTCATTGTAGGACAAGTCCAAATACCGGATTTTGTTACACAGGAAGAGGTGGGAAGGCAGCACCTCTATTTTGTTGTGACTGAAGGCCAGGCGCTCCAGGCTGGTGAGCTTCTTGATGTGCTCCGGGATGTACGTGATGCTGTTGTGCCACAGTTTGAGCACCGTCAGCTTTCTCAAGTGCTGGAAGCTAACGATTTCCTCTATGGACTTCAGATTATTCTCTTTGAGGTCCAGTTCCTGGAGGCTGAGCAGACTGAACACGGCGTGGGGAATGCGCTCCAGGTCGCAGTGGACCAGCTCCAGCTCCGTCAGGTTGGTCATCTTCTTCAAGTTGTTGAGCATCACCAGTTTGCTGCCGTCGTTATGGATGCACATCTTCTGGAGATGGCTGGCCACGTCCACCACGGCCTGCGGGATCTTGGAAACGTTGCTTTTGATAGAGAGAATTTTAAGGCTTTTGAGATCCCGCAGAGACTCGAGGGTGACGTTTTTGGAGATATCATGACTTAGAGAGCCGACCAGGTAGAGCTCTTCCAGATTCCGGAGCCCGTACATCCAGGGGGGCAGCTCCCTCATGTCATCAAACTTGACGCTCAGGACCTTGAGGTTCTCCTTCAGGAAGGAGAGTGCCGCACTGTGGATTTTGACTGAGCACTGGTGGAGCGAGAGCTCCTGGAGATTGTCGAGCTGTGCGATGGTGGCTGGGATCATCACGTTCTTGATGATTTCAAGTTTTAGAGACTGCAGCTCTGTGATCTCAAAGACCGTGTCTGGAAGGCCAGAGAGCATGATGAGAGGCAGTTCCAGCCGGTTATGGGCATTCATCTGCAGCTTCTGCCTCAGTTTATCGGGAGTCCACTCGTTATTTAAGTTCAGCTGCTTTAATTTGTTCTCGCTCACTTCAGACAGGAACACGGCAAATCTCTTGGAATACAGCGGGTCATACTGGTCTATCATATGAAGCATGAAAGCAAAGTCATTTTTCACATCTGGAATGTCATCAATGCCGGTCTCCTGGCGGACATACTCGAAAGAGTATTCCCGTAGAGAACGGTAGAACAGCCAGTATAAGGTGTAAAGGCACGTCAGTCCGTAGATGCTTACAAAACACAGGTAGCAAAAGGACAGTTTTGAGAACAAGTGGGCCATGGTGTGATTACAAGAAAAATTTTTATATCCGGTCATGTCCTGAATGTCAACATTACAGTCCACGGTAAACTGAACTTTGGAAACCAGGGCGCTATTGTATGCGATGATGATGAGGAATTTTATAACCTTCAGCACCGTCTGGCGAACGTACATAGCATAGAGTATATCGCCTTCTTCGACATGCAGCCTGAACTTCTTCACCTTCTCAAACAAGGCCTTCGCTTGCTCACCTTCCTTCTTATCCAGGGCCCCCGCTGTGGACTTGTCAACCACGAACTTCTCAGGGATGGACTTTAATGACTGAGAGTTGACCAGGCTGCCTTCCGGACCAGACTGGATGGTGTTGGACCTGCTCATGTTGTTCTTCCTGTTGTCCTTTTCCTCTGAATCCTCCCCAGACACTTCTGATAAAGCCCGTGTGGTCCAAGGGGAGTCAAAACACTTCCCCAGGATCGAGATGAAATGCTCTATTTTGGAGCTGGAGCCAGGGAACTTAAACCAAAAGTTGCTGCAGAGCATGAAGACCAGGGTATGGATGAGGACTAGGTAAGGGAAATACTTGGCATACCAGTGGAGGGCTCGCTCGTAACACATCTGGTTTATAAAACTGTACTGCTGGAGGTCCAGGTCTGTCTTGAGTCCTTTCATCTCCACGGTGGCAGGGTTGGTAGGCGACGGCTTAGGGGGAGGCAGCGGGGTGGTGCTGGCAACTGCTTGAGAGACATTGGACACAGAAGAGTGATTCTGAGAAGGCTGGACTCTTTTCGGAAGGCAGATGATCTTGTCTTGCATGACCTGAAACACAGAAGTAATATTTTTGAATTATATTATTCAAAGAGCTCTGATAATGTCATTAGTGTGAAGACAGCAGCAATAACATCCAATAAATGTCCATTTCCTTTGCCTGGAGAATACAATGTTTGATTCTGGCACCAGGATTTCATTCCCTGCCCACGTGCTGGGAAAATGAATTATTTGACTTTGCTCGTCAGGTCTAAGTTCTGACATAGAACACAGTGGTTTTCTTAGGCCACAGAAGAACTTACAACAAAGTATTTAGAGAACATTTGTGTATTTTAAAATTTTGCATTTCTTCTCTCCTTGGAGCCTGGGAGAATCAGTCATTGGTGTGGGAATTATATCCCATTATCAAACTGGATGGCTCCCCGGATTAGATGGGGTTGTGTATGGGAATTAACAGGATTGGCAGGAGGAAATGTGGAAGAAATTCCTGTCTTGATCCTCTCCCCTTTACTTTCTACCCATATCCTGGATTGCATGCATAGATGGATGCAAATGGTCTTCATAATGGGAATTCACTAAGCTTTTATAAAGACCATTTCATCTCTCCGAAGAGAGGTATGAAAGAATACAGAAGCACTCCATAGTAAAACAATTAGGTTTAAACTTGCTGGCTTTTCACACAAGACATTACATTGAAAACTTTAATCTGTCTACCAATACCACAATTTGTTGGAAAAAAACAAAACAAAACAAAACAGTAAGCCCTGAGAATGTCCAGGAGTCTCCTACCACTGCGATTTGGGTAAGAGAGAGGGCATCTTCTTGCAAATGAGGGAGCAGGAGGCAAAATACTGTTTGAATCAACTGGGAGGAACAGTCTCACCATTGAGGAGACCAAGGCACAGAGAAGTTAAGTCACTTGCTACTGTCATCTTGCTCAGGCCACCTGGACCCAGAGCCCACATTTTTATTTTATTGTACCGCATTTCTAAAATTAAACCAAAAAGATGTCAATTTGACTTCATCATAATAAATTAGCATGTGCAAATTATGTTACAGGAAAAGAGCTTACTTCTTCAGGACCCTATGCAGATAAAAATGAAAGAATGAGGTTAAGGGGAAGAGAAGAAGTCTCACTACAAGAGTTACAAAAGCTCTGTCCAAGAAGATAAAGTGGGGAGCAATTATTTACTATGTCAATCAGGAGATGCAAGGAAGAATTCACACATGTGACTGCATTTCTAGAATCTGGTGGCCACAGAGGTATGCGAACTGAACAGTGATCTTCAAGCATTTTTGTAAAAAAAAAAAAATTTATTTATTTAACAGAAAGAGAGAGAGAGAGAGATCACAAGTAGGCAGAGAGGCAGGCAGAGAGAGAGGGGGAAGCAGGCTCCCTGCTGAGCAGAGTGTCTGTCTTGGGGCTCCATCCCAGGACCCTGAGACCATGACGCGAGCCAAAGGCAGAGGATTAACCCACTGAGCCACCCAGGCGCCCCGGTCTTCAAGCATTTTTATCACTTACCTATGTCAGAGAAAAAATTGAGCATGCCCACTCAGTATATGTATGTCTATTCATAATTATATCCACAAAGCACTGTTGAGCCATATGTGAAATATTAGAAAACCTTAATTCCTTTCCCTTGAAGCTTAAAATAAATACAGGTATACCTTGAAGATCCTGCAGGTTCGGTTCCAGACTACCACACAATAAAGCAAATACTGCAACACAGTGAGTCAAATTAATTTTTTGGTTTTCCAGGGCATAGAAGAGTTACATTTACACTATACTATAGACTATTTTTTTTAAAGACTTTATTTATTTATTTGACAGACAGAGATCACAAGTAGGCAGAGAAGCAGGCAGAGAGAGAAGGGAGGGGAAGCAGGCTCCCTGCTGAGCAGAGAGCCCGATGCGGGGCTCGATCCCAGAACCCTGGGATCATGACCCAAGCTGGATGCAGAGGCTTAACCCGTTGAGCCACCCAGGCGCCCCTACTATAGTCTCTTAAGAGGGCAAAAAAGTGTCATGTTAAAAAAATGTCCACCATCATCTGAGCAATTTATAATCACTGGTCATGGATCATCACAGCAAATATGATAATAATGAAGAAGTTTGAAACATTGGAAGAATTACCAAAATGTGACACTGAGACAGGAAGCGAGTAAATGCTGTGGGAAAAATGGGGCCAACAGACCTGCTCGACACAGGGTTGCCACAACTCTTGCATTTGTGAAAAACACAGTATCTGTGAAGTGTGATAAAATGAGGTGTGCCTGAATAAGAGTTTCCATTTCTATCTCACATCTCAATGCACACCCTTTGCATTTCTAGGGGTTGAAGCACCCTACCTTGGAAACCCCTGAAACAGAAAATAGCAGGAGGACATCTAGACAAATGGCAGACTACCCTTAAGGACTGTAGGAAGGAGACAAATAAGCAATTCGGCCTTTGGGGTCATGTTCTGGATGCATTCCTGCTTGTGGTCTCATTTAATGCTCCTACAGTCTGTGTAGTAAGCAGAAGGTGGGGGTGAGAGATGAGCAGGGAAAGGGAGTGTTTCCCTGAGCACTTTGCCCAAGAGTGACACCTTCAAGCTACTGTGTTCATATGGCATTGTTAGTGTTGTGATAAAAACACGGAAGACTTGGTTTGTGGAAGCGAGAACAGAAGGTAAAAAGGCAGGCACCTTCTTAAAGTGCTAACTCCCTGCCAAGCAGCCAAGCAGACCCCGTTCCTGGCCCCTTGCCCAGCACTTCCCCAGGCTTGTTCCTAATGGAGGAAGATGATAGACGTGTGGAGCTTGCTTGCAAAGGGTCTCAGGATAGGCATTGCACCAGGGTGCTAAGCAAATGGGGCAGACAAGGGTGGGCTCCTGCTGGGCTGGGCTCCCCTCAGCGGATGGAAGCCCCATCCTCTTGGGGCTATCTATGGTTACACGGTGGGGCTACCTTTTAATATTCTGCATAAAGGTACTCGATTGGCTAGCATCTGCCATGCTAAGGAGGGAGGCAGGTCATATTTTCGCCATTCTACAGAAGAAAAAACCAGCTAAGGTTCAGAGAATGTCAGTAACTTGTCCAAGTTCACATAGCAGGAATTTAAACCTGTCTTCTGTTTACAGTCTAGTGTTCTTCGACCCCTCCACACGTCTTCTCATCTCACTGAGCTTCTGCTGAGAAGGCTTCACAGAGAACAGCCCAGAGTAGGGGAGGGAGACCGAGCTGACCTCCCCAAGTTCCTCTCAGTCTTCTGATGCCAGATTTCTTTTTCAGTCTTCACGAAGACAATTTTTAAAATGTGCCTACTTCAATCGCAGGAGGGGAAGGACGGTGATCTGCTTTCCAGCAGCTGCTAACTGTTCGGAAGTGAGCACAGGGTAGAAAAAATGCTGGAATTCAGTTGCTAAGGACAAGAGCTGCTCCTGCGGCTGAGAGAACATCTCGTCGGAAGATTCCAGCAGAGACGCAGCTCAGAGTGGAACTCCCCAAAAATGTGACAGTAGGCTGCCTAATCCAGGACTACGAGAAGGAACAGGGCGGGTTCAGCGTGAGGATTTAAACAGTAAAATGGCCACGGGATGGAGGAAGGAAGTTGCCTCCTCCATGTTAAAGAGACACAGTATTTCTGAACATGGTAGCATTGAGAAGAACTGGGTGAAGGATCTGTGTTTTCGAAGGCATGGTAAAAAAGGGAAAGACAGACAAAAGTAAGGCAGCCAGGCTTCCTAAAACAGCAGCCGCAACCACAACAACAAACGGCACAGGGTGCTTTGTGGTATCTTTGTAAAAAAGAGTATCTTGTAAGAACTTGAAATTCTTTGTTTCCTCTTTTCTGCTTTTTGGAGAAATTTGTTAATTAAACCTATATACCTCACTTCTCTGTACATTTATCAATCATTTAAAGATTAGGGCACCAAACAAACCTTATAGAAAGGCAGCAACATGGATCCTCAGGGTTCTAGGCTGCTGGTGCAGGACTGAGGGAGAGTGGCTGGGGGATGGGCAGGGACAAAGCCACGCCTCCCGCACCCCTCGCTCATGCACAGATCATACACACACACATCACAAGGCAGAGGAATTCCACCATTTTCATCCAGAGGCAACCCTCAGAATGCCTTTAGAGGAAAAGGGCTTGAGACTGGTAGTTACAATGTGTGTTTGTGAAGGGAGACTGGAGGGGCAAGGAAAATGGGGTGGGGGGAGAGAAAAAAAATGGAAAAGCAGGATAAACCAGAGAATCCAATCCAAAAATACAGCAAGGTGAGAAAGTTATTATCCTAAAGGCAAATATAAGAATAATTCTTGAATTAAAATCATCTGTGTTAAGGAAAATACCTGAGTTGGTTTGGGAACTGGGAGGTATCCAGAATAAGGTGAGTCACTGAGAGCAAAGGTCAGATGCACCATGGCAACAAAGAGAGCCAACCCTATACTATATTGGGATGAACAGGCTTGGAGGTGGGAGGAGGTGAGTCAGCAAAGCAGAGAGGGGCTGGAATCAAAGAAAATGGGTCAGGCAACATGGTGGGAGGCTGGAGTGTATACTCATTATTTCTATTTTGAGATATAAATACATTTCACTCTTGCCCAAAACTTTGGTAAAATCCGCTACACAGACACAGACACACACATGCACACACACACAGAGCTTTTGTGAGTTAATTTTATAAAAATCAACAAAAAGGAACAAACTTTCATGCTTGGATTAAATCTGTACAGACAGGGAGAATTTGCCTGCGATGATAAAAATCTGTGATCTAAACTGTTTCCATGGCAGCAGGAATGAGGACCATGAGAACCAAATCCTTCCAGGAGTCTGTAGAACTTGGAGAGGGTCATGGGTACGGGGGCTGGAATTTGATCCATCACGGTCTAGAGCATAAGGAGCTGCTAATGTCTAGGTGACAAACATGTATAAAATGCTCTTTCAAGGCCTTACAACAAAAGGCCCGGAGGGATAAAAATATACAGGTAAAATTGTTCCATCACTGTGATAATATCCAGGTAATGTTTCTGGAAAAGAAACCCAAGGGTTTCAGGGTTTGCAG